TGGGAAGGAGGCAAGGGCAAACCACTTCTGAAAAACCTTGCCAAGAAAACTGCAGGGACTGTCCAGGCAGTCACCGGGAGTCAACAATATTAAAGTGATACAGTACTTTCCTCCATATTTGAAAGTAGTGTACAACCAGTGGTGTCTACTGACTTCACAAGCAATAATCTAAATTTGATTATAATACATATGACATTTAAGCTGTGATACTTGAATTTTAAGTCAGTATGGACAATCCCAGTGAAATAAATGAAGCAAAACACTGCCGGGTACCAAGACTCCAGTTTAATTATTGTTAGCTAGTACTCTATGTTAACATGTTTTTCTTTCCACTAGGTAAAAGTACACATATTTTGAATTATTTGTAAGCTATTGCAGCTTCTTCTGGTGATGTAGTGTCTTTTTTTATAACTTTTCATACCCATTGCAGCCTTGGCCTATTGAATTATATATTCTGAGCTTGCAGAATATCTTTCTCCAATCTGCTGCATTCCAGATAGGCCAGGACTACTCCCAAATATCTGCACCAGCATGTTGGTTGAGAATTGTGTCAGGTTGTAGGCCCAAGATTGCTATAAAACCAGAAATACCCAAGCTGAACAGATTTTGTTGAAAAATTTGCATAGGGGGATAGTTATTTTTCTCTTATTTATAATCTGGTAGATAATAAATAAGCACTACTTTGCTAGATTCTCAGGTGTTCTGCTATGCAAATTTATGAGTGGGTATGTGGGTGTGTTCACCTGGTTTTTCTCCCCTTTTTCTTTTTGTTAGGGTGCCCATTCCGCCACAGTGACCCAGAGTTGCTGAAGCAGAAGCTTCAGTCATATAAAATACCTCCTTCTGGAATCAGTCAGGTAGGGAATCTTTTCTTCTGATACTATGGTAATGTGACATAAGGTATATCTTTTCAGTTTTATTTAATAATGATGGACAATATATGACAATAAATGCAAACTATCTCTTAAATCAGAGCATACAGCTTGTTATGAAATTCTCACCTACTTGGATAGATGTGGGCAAGCTTTTGTAAGCACCATTGGTGGGCTCTATTGTTGTCTTCTAATATGTCCTTCCTTGTTAACACCTGTAAAATTTCAGACAAGAACCATAGTAGTAGTCACCAAGTAATATTTGTGATACTTTTAACATTCCCATTTAAATGGAAGGGTAGGGTATAATTTAGGCTCTGTGTGTGTGTGTGTGTGTGTGTGGCTGCATATGCAGACATACATGTAAACCTAACTGCTATATTTTAAAAATAAATATTCTGATTCTGAATTTGAAAGAAATTACCTACATTTTGAGAAACTATAGTCTGTTATTCAAAGTTCAGGTTTACCACAGTCTGGTGATGGCACCAAATCTGGTCACCTCAGAAAACCTTTCATTTAGGATAATCATTGAGATATCTTGCCTCTCATAAATTGAAACTGATTATATAAACACACACACACACATATCTAGTTTTTTCCCCCTTCCCCTCAGTCCAGGAAGAAGGAGCAGCAGTTTTCTTTCTCCTGATTCCTTGCATCTAATCTAAAAAAAATCTTACCTCATGAGTGACTAATGTTATTAAAAAAAAGAAAATACAAATAGCAGCTGGAATGAAAAGCAAAACTGTGGATCAAGTAAATTCTCGGGTAGAGCTGGATGTAAGCAAGATTAAGAGGTGTGTGACTGTTCTCTTCTATCTTATTCTGTAGGCCAAACCTTAGCAAACGTGGCTGGTACTGAACTAGAGGAGGTCCTTTTTAGATTCCTTCTCTACCATTTTAAAGCTTTATTGTGTCAGACTATTTGGAATGAAAAAAGAAAGATTACAAGCAGAAACTAAATGAAAAAAATATTACATCAACATTTGTCCCCATCCCCAAGAAGGAAAAATGGCTGGCAATTTATCTTGTGTACAAAATAATAGCAAAAGAATTGACAAGATGGCTTAAAAGCACATTTCCTTATCTATTATTGAAAATAACTTTACTTCTTATGTTGGCAGATAGTACACATTAATAAGCCATTGCTACAAGTCATATACAGGTTTATCTTCCATTGCTGTATAATAATTATTTTAGAAATTCCGTATCCACAAAAAGTCCATAGTTTTTGATGGCTTGCAATTCCAGCTTGCTGGAGATACAGCCAAGCAAAACATATACATCCATAACTGGCAATTATCCATCTAAAGTTAACAACTCTGTGGATTATACCCTGAAATGGAGCAATAATAGGAAAAGTCCATACCATGTAAGTGAATATTCAGATTTCTGAATTGCATTTTTAGCATCAAGGTAATTTCATACAATCTTTATTGAAGTGTCCAGTACACGTGCAATATAATGTTTACTGATTAAACTCATTTTAAGATAAAAAAGAATGTCACATGCTTTTAGGCAAACCTTCATTAGTTCACAAAAACAGAGCATTGAAGCTCGTTATTCCAGTATTCAATATATGGTTAATGTCTGTTTCATAATCTTCTTTTATTTTTTTTAGATTTTTTTATCCTGCCTTTATTATTTTTATAAATAACTCAAGGTGGCAAACAACAACATACTCCTTCCTCCTATTTTCCCCACAACAATTTTCTTGTAACAGTAGATGCTTGTTCAGAAGCCTCTATGGCTTTCTCCAAAGCCAATTAATTAATTAATTAATTGCCTCTGAAGTTCTAACTTTTTCATGGGGAAAAGGATCAAAACCGTTTCTGTGACCCGATGATTTTCCATATATATCTTAAAGGATTAGATGAGAGGATTAAAGGTGATCCCAAGTAAACAAGTTAGATTCTAGTTATCTGCACAGGATTTTAATAGGTTCTCATAATAAATTTCAAGATGAACCTGAGGAGGAGCTTAAGACTGAGGTACCTTATTCCAATCAATAAATAAAGCTTAAATAAAGGCCCAATGATAAATCTGGAAATGTGGAAAATTAAATCCACTATATCTTCTTACATATATGTCCAAGTTACTGAAAAGTTCAAATTTAGCAATTGAGAAACCTTCCTAGCAATCTTTATACCGAGCTAAGCAAAGGTGTTGGAACACAACCTAATTGTAATGGATGGCATGAGCGAGGAAGATACTGGAATGGAGGATCAAGGTTATCAGGGGGGAAGGAGGACATTCCGGAGCAAACACTTTCTCAGTCCACAGCAGGAGCGTGGGAAGACAAATAAGATGAGGATAGCCCCTCCCTAGAGTCTCACGGGGTATATCCACTAGTTGCTTTTGCATAGGTTTAGTCTGGCGAGATTCTGTCTATTAGGTGCGAGCTAATAAAGGAACTATATTGGACTGGACTGTCTTGTCGTTGTTCTTGGGCTGGGCCTGACACTAATGTTCTGATGACTATACTTGGCAAGAAGGCAGTTCCAAAAATGTTGCTAAGAAAACTTCATAACCCTTGGTTTCTTGGAAGAGAGGGATCACCAGCAGTTTCTCCCAGGATTTACATCTCAGATGGATCAAGGTCTGATTGCAGAGGACTATCATACAGAGGACTTCAGTGAAATAAAGGATAGGGAACTATCTGAAGAAGATTCAGCATACACATTCAATAGAATAAGCAGTAAAAACACAGGACACTAATAGTAATTAAATGGAAAATGAGAACCAGGAGTTCTCCACTTTCATACATTTAATTGTAGTTATAATTCCTTAAAGAGTAAGGTAAAGTGACTTGCTCCTGTGATAGCTATGGTAATTTCATTTTCTGTTAAAAAAGATGAGTCTCTCAACTTTGCCATCTATATCATGAACAGAAGACAAACTGTTTCATCGCTTAATTTGTTTTAAGTCTAAAAGCAAGCCAATTACTAGATTACTCTCACTTTCCCAGAATTGTTGCCTGGCACAACATAATAAAAATTCTGTTTCAGCAGCATGAAACTTGTTACACTCATATTTAGCAGGGGCCAAAGTTCTGTGTCATTCAGGAAATAGATGAAATGGATAATGTATAAAATAAAGGCAGTATATAGAGTGAGGACCAGAAATATTGGAACAAGGATAACTGTTTTGGCATTTGGCCTCTGTACACCACCAC